CGGGGCACTTGGGGGATATAGCAAATGATCTATAGGGAGCTGCGAAACTGAGCGTACTCCAGTAACGTTGGTCTCAAGACGCTCGCACGCCCGATCCTTTGCAGTGCTTTCTTTCATCCAGTCTCAGTTGAGACGCTGTACTAGAAAACTGGCCCAGGATCACAACTCGTGAAGTTTCCTCGTGCTTCTCTTTCGTTTTTGCAAAAACCCACAATCAATGTTGCGAAATAAAATCAAGGCTAGAGAGAGAGAAAGGAAGAGATATTACTATATTTTTAATCAAATAAAGAAGCTAGTCCTCCACTAAGCGAACCAGAGTCAGCTCATCCACGCAAGCCACCGACGCCAGCCCCACCACCAGTGTGGCGAGATGCTCCGACTGCTGCCTGTCACATTCTTCTCAGGCCGGCTAGAGAGCGGCTTTTACTGTTGCCTTCAATCTCGCCCAGGAGCAATGGGACATCTTAAGCCACGTGGGGGAGCGACCACACTACCATACCCAACACCGCCTGAGACATCCTGAACAACTGTCCTCCGACCACTGCGAGTGAAAATGTGTGCCATTATAATTATTTGAAAAAACCTTCTAGTGAGTCGATTCAAGTATGTTTCGGCTTACGAAAATTAAATGCTTGTTTATGAAAACTCGTTTCTCGAGAAGACGAAGAGAAAGAGGTGTTCCACATACGCCTCTGCAGACAAGTGGCCTCATGATCTGTGGGTGTTATTACTCTACAACCTTCTCGAGCTCAACCCCGGAGCAAAGAGGAAAACATGGCGAGGAGAAGCTGCCTCTCAGAAGAAATTAAAGCGCTGTACGAAGGGTTATGTTACAGCGACCCCTTCGAACTGCCAAACTACTCCCTGTCCAAAGGCCGTAAGAGATAGCGCCAGTTCACTCCAGATCGGCCATGATTCTTCCAACTGCTGAACAAGGCAAGCGCTTGTTAATTAGCACGCGGAGGAAAAACTTGAGCCGCAATACCAAGAGATCATCAACTCGAACCTCGCCGCCGCCAGTTTCGATCTGGATGAGCCATCGCAACAGCGTGCTAAATTTATCGCTCACGTCGGAAACACCAGGCGCCTTTTGTGACGCATGAATGTCACCTTTCCGTGCACTTCTAATATATTTTCAAAATGCCTTCCAAGTGTCATGTTAGGATTAGAAAAAAAAAACGGATTTAATCAGAAAGCGCTACGAATTGTTCGGTATCGTCCGTGCTCGTGCATCCGAATCCTGCTCGTCCCTCTTCCTTTTTTTTTTCATACTCGCACTATTAACAAGACCTACAACAAAGTTTGAATTGTCCTCAATTCAAGTCTCTACATCACTTCACTTTGTGATACAGTCTCGGAGGCATGCTGGAGGCCTTCGTTGCTTTTGCATACGTGCTGATGTTGCATTCTGACCTTGGATTCTGGGATTTCGCACGATCCTTCAAGTAAAGAGTCCAGGACTCCACGCAGAAATGCTTTGATACAGTATACGAAGTAACCGACATTAAAATAAGGTCCCCTCGTGTCGGCTTTGTACCGGGCTTTCGCCAGCGTCTGGCTATCTTCCAAATTGAGCTTTGTAGCGCATCGGTTTCTGGCAAGGTTGATCAATCTTTCGGTTTCGGTGAAGTCATCATCAACGCTGGCAATGTTTAGTTCGCCTGGAAGTTCGGGATCCCACCCGTGCATTAGCCAGAAAGGGCTGTATCGCGTTGAGCTCTGTCTCGTGACATTAAAGGGCAACTTCGCTTAATTTTGATAGTTAGAAAACTATGCAGCCCTCTTCAGTATCATATAGGAAGACCCCATGTAAAATATTACGATCTAATTTCGTTTATATATTTAATAATCTGGCCAGCAAACCTTCAAGTGAGCCAAGTCGCCGAAATCTGCCAACTCTAGCGTGCGACGTGAGGCGCAATCGTCAGCGCAGTCAATGCGACAGAGCTGGAGCGGCTAACGTTAGGCCACTACGTCAGAGGCATGACTATGTCATTCTCACGTTTTGATTGTTTTTACTTCTAGAGAAAAATTGAACGATAACGTCATGAGTTTCTCCTCCCGGTGTAGGCTGAGCGGTGTCCACGAGATCACCGTAAAGCGGATGCGCCAGTTTGCGCTGCCCTGCGCGCTAATCGGTCTGTTTCTTCGCTCCCCCTCTCCTCTTTCGTCTTCTCCCCTTCCCCCTCTCGCCCGGCCATCACCGTCCACGCCATGCGAAGCGACCTGCCTGCGTCCGGTGTCCTGTCCCTCGCCCCCCCCCCCCCCCCCTCCGAACGTCACAAGACCACGTGGTTCGACGTGACGAGGCCATGACTCTGACAACACGAGACTAATGTTGCCTGACGCAACCGAAGTTCCGGTTTCGGTATCAGCTGATGTTTAAATTAGCATTACACAAATAATATGCCACATTTCGCGAGTTCGAAGACGTAGAGCTGTTTAGTAGTGCTTTGTGAAATGGATTCACATGTAAGCCTAAATTTTTCGGAATTGAGCTGAGTTGCCCTTTAATAGCGGTTACTGCATCTTGCAATGCGATAAGGCAGTCGAGATGATTGTCCACAAGTTTTCGTAAGAGTTGTTTGCGTGTTCTAAGCATTCTTGCGATAAGACCGTTTGCTTTCGGTCGATTTCGTGAAGATGTAAAGTGTGTCACAAAGAGACGTGGATAAATTCTCTCCGTGTTTCGGCTCCCAAATCTTCTTGCTTGGTCTTTGATGAATATTTCCGGTAACCCAAATCTGGAGATCCTTCTTTTCGTCAGGAAGTTGATGTAAGGGATGGAAGCCGTACTGGAGACAGCTGATGCGTCGACGTAGCGGATATCGTGTCCAAGGCATACCAAAATATTTTCTTCTTTCTCTAATATTGGTCCAAATTGATCAAGCGGGATCACTTTGTTTGGTTCGTCAGGGATGTCTCTTGGGTTAAGGCATCCTTCCTTGGCCGTTTGCGTCGATTTATTTGCCTACATATGTCACACAATCGAACATATCATGCGACGTCTTTGGTCATGGACGGCCACCAGTAGCGCTTCGAAACCTGATCTGAAGTTTTTCTTGTGTCCATATGTCCGACCTTATCATGGCACAAACGCATTACAATGTCGTGCAGTGCGATACGTACTACGATTCGCGTGCTTTGTCGTCCACTGCGGATCAGTTTTCGTACAAGGATCCCGTTGTCAATTTCGAGGACACTGTTTTTCATGTTTCTTAGTAGCTTAAGACGTTGGCATTCCGGATCAGACGTCTGGAAACTCATGAAGTGGGAGTCCTGACTCAGCACAATCGCAGAGCACTTCAGTGTGCATCCAGCCGCCTCGTTGTTGATGAGGCCTTCCAGGCCTGTGTCCGGAATGTCAAGTCGTGACGTCGCATCTGCTGCTCCGTTGAGTTTTCCAGATCGCTGTACAAGATCGAATTCATATTCCGCTAAGTGGAGTGTTCACCTGGCGAATCTGCGGTTGGTTGTACACTGTTTCACGAGGTACGTAAGGCTCATGTTTCCCCTGACAACCGTGAATCAAGGTTCTGCACAAACAAAAATGGCGAGTTTTTCGGTGACGGCCCAGTGAAGAGCCACACATTCAAGAGTCTTTGAATTGAGCTCCGAGTCGTATTCATTGAGACTGCGGCTTGCATACTCGATTACTTGTTCTCCCTCTTCTTGAAATTGAGCAAGAAGGGCTCCGAAACCAGTGTGACTGGCGTCGACATAAGTTATTGTTGGGCATCCGTACCTGAAGTTCCCGATTATTGCAAGACTTGTCAATGTTCTCTTCACGTCATTGACGATCTTGTCGTGAATTTCAGTCCAGATAAAATCAGTGTCACGAGCCAGCAAGGTACGTAGACGAAACGTGATGGCACAGATGGCAGAGAAGCAGAAAAGATGTAGTAGAACCTTGACTGCCCTCTTGAGAAGCTCGTTATCGGCACGAGAGCATCTATACGGGCAAGATGTGACTGGTATATCTTCTCTTGAATCAATCGAGTGCTCAGAATAGGGGCATATCCCTATTCTGTTCTCACCATCGACAAAGGCTGAGTAATGTGTCAGTAGAATGTGACGAAGCTGGTTCTGTCGATCGACCGATGCATTTTGAGTCATTTCTTTACGGCCACTTCGGTGTGCTTGAGAAGTTCGGTGTCTGGGGCACTCGCTCACGTTTCTAGTTTCACAAATCTATCACCGTGCTTCGTTGCACTCACAGGAATTGTGGCAATAGAAACTTCGCTTTGACAGAACGATGCAATGTGTGTTTCACCCGCCGCGAAACAAGCCTGTTTCGTTGAGGCAGTTGAACTACCATAACGTCGTTGCTGGGGTGAAATGTAACATACACGTTGGCAAGTCGTCTCCTATCTGATCCAAGAAGGATGTCGACAGGAGCAGGTAGTTCTATGACGAACACCTCAGGTAGCCAAACTTGAGTAGTGCCAACCGTGATTGTCATAGCTGTGGCTTTCTCGGGTCTTACTCGTGTTCCAAGAACGTTTATATCAGATCTATTAGGATGAACTGTGATGTTTGAGTTGGGCGGAAGGGCTGCAGAGCGAATGATCGAGACGTTTGCGCCCGTCGCGATGCACCCTTTCACAGTTGTTTTTGAACCAATTAAGCCACAAACAATGGGTAAGTTGTCCCCGCTTGTACGTAGCAAGCAATGAACGTTTCTTGACATGGTGATACGGCTTCAGCGTTCGCGATCGCTTTAGTCAAAACGTCTTGGAGAGGACGCCGTCGGACTGTGTGCGCTGCGTCCTTCTTCCGCCCGAAGAGTAGCGGGTGTCTTCGGAACGCGACATTCTCTTGAGAAGTGTCCCGGCTTGCACAGTTGTAGCTTTTAATTGAGTTGAGCTGTGTATTATCTTCGAAGCTTGCAGCTGTCCTCCAGTACAGCTCTTGGTGTTCCTCGTTTGCGTAGTGGCTCTTTTTTAAGGGGCCACCGGCTATCCATGCCCATTGCCCTGACAATAAGTTCGAGCACCGACCTGCACATGTGGCGCGCCAAATGGTTCAACCATTTGTCATCGGCAATGCCAAGCAAGATCAATGAGATTCTGTCCTCATGCACTGATTCATAGGGCGACTTTTGTAGCATGGCATTCGTGGAGTAAATGTATTGCACAAGAGTTTCGCTGGGCAGGAGCTTCCGTTGGGCCTGATACTCGATGAAGTCTTGCAAGGTCATCTTCCTCTTGAAGCGTTCGAAGACTGCTTGCTTCCACGTTTCCCAGTCACGGATTGATTTACCATATACTGTCTGCCAGTCCATAGCAGGTCCTCTGAGTCGAGTCAACGCATTCAGTATGGTGAGGGATGACGTTCAATGTGCAAGAGAGGCGACGCGATCGACCTCTTTAAGCCAATGAGAAACGTTAGTCTCTATATCTCCGTTGTAAATGGGTATGGCGGATGACGTGTCAATCGTAGAGTGGACTTCGAGGGTACGTGAGTTTGTCAATCCGCACCCCACGGTCCGTTGTTGAGTCCCTGCGATGATGGCGAGAACCTCGTTGATGGTAGGGATCGCAGGCTCTCGGCTGGTCGCCTCGTGGACCCTCGTGACTGTTGCGTCTGTGACTGTTGCATGCTCAAGATGTGGGACTGTGTCCGGTATTTGCGGCACTGAACCCGTGGTCGGGCGTCGTTCTTGATTTTGGCGTACCTGCTCTTTGATCGTCGTCATATCAGTTTCAAGCTTCTCGTAGGAGATTTGAAGCTGTTCACAGCGCTCCGCGAGATCGTTTGTAGAGTCGGCCATGTCTTGCGTCAATTTGGCCGGCGTTCAATAAAATGCATGCTTGGGTCGTGTGCCTCAGCTAGCACGTACCTGTGATTCTTGTCGGTGTCGACTGCGCCATGTTAGGATTATAAAAGAAACTGATTTAATCAGAAAGCGTTACGAATCATTCGGTATTGTCCGTGCTCGTGCATCCGAATCCCGCTCGTCCCTCTTCTTTTTTTTTATTACTCGCACTGCTAATAGTCAATGTTTCAACATCCTAATTAATACGCACCAGCTCGCCTGCAGATACACATTTTTTTAAGCTTTCCACTGCCTAGACATCTAGCCACAAATTACGTGTATTCGCAAAAAGGGTTTCTACACATAAAGCAGCAGACGTTATCGCGTTTCAGCGTCACGTGTGCCATGTCGCGTATACTTGATAATCTCTAAGCCACCCCGCCGAAAGCTGGGAATTCTCCTACCGTTCCGTCAAGAAAATACTATTGCGTCAAACGACAAGTTCGATCTTGTGTCTTGAAAGCATGGTAGAAGTTTGAAGGTGTCACCTTCTTGCACCAACAACGCCAAGGTTGACAGTCTGATATTGGAGAATAATTTTGTTTCAACGAAGTGAATAGGAGCAACGCCGGACTGTCAAATTTGACGCTGTTGGTTTTAGGATGCAGCGACTTCAAGCATCCACCATGCTTTTCACGAACATCAAAAAACTAATCAAACTCATCGTTCGACGACATCTCTCTTTCTCGCCGGAGCGATGGGACAGTCCGTAGGAATGGAACACTTTGTCCTTGGCTCCTTGCAGAGTACGGGGAATAGCAAGTGACAGTGACGTGACCCACATAACCTCAAAACACGGTGACATATGCTCCTCTACCTGGAGAAAATCCTTGTCGTGTGAGTCCACCACAAGAGCAATATGGCACCGTAAACTTTGACGCTTTTGGTGTAAGGACGCGGCGACTTCAAGCTTTCCACAATGCTTTTGCACACGCCAACAAACTTGTCGTTCGACGCCATCTTCCTTTATTGCCGGAACCATGGTGCAATCCTCGCCTCTTGGCGGAGTACCGGGATGAGCAAGCATCCGTGATGTGGCGCATGTGACCTCGAAGTGCAATGACGCTTGCTTCTCTCTGTGGAGGAAATCTCGGTCGAATAAGGACACCATTAGAAGCTTCACAATTAGAGATACACAGTGGCGTGGGAAATTCGGTTCTCGCATGCAGTGCTGCATAAAACGAACTTCCATCCTGCGAAGATTTAGCGTGACATTCCCCAAAACCAACAGTATTTACACGCCGACATTGTTCAGAAACAAGTTGGCTTTCATTCGGGGACGTTAGGTAGATAACTCTACAGGCTGGGTGGTGATCGGGGAGTCAAGACTTCACCACACAATTCGACCGTAGGCCGCGGAATAGCACAAGAAGTGTAAAAATGAACAGCCAGGGAATAGCACAAAAAGTGTAAAAATTAACAGTTTCGTGTCGGCGTTAAATTAAGGAAGCACTGTGCTTCCGAGGGTGTATACAAGTTTTCATTGACACAACCATGAAAAAAAAAAGTTAAGTCTTAAAACGAGATATTAGGTTTAAAGAACTTGCAGCAGGGGCAGTTGGAACAGTGCGAAATTCCGAGCTAGACTTCTCTGCGCATTGATGATAACTTGTTTGCCTCAGGTGCCCTAGTATCCCGTGTAAGGCTTTCAAAGGGTAATATTTATACACTGTAAAATGTTTCCGTAATTTTACAAACACTTTGTCGTAATTCTGACGGACAGTGTGTCCGTTTCTTACTTAGCGGACATAAAACCCGTTTTTTGTTAGGTTGAATAAAATAGTACAGTTGTGTGCCAAAGAGTACCATAGTAGAGGATAAAAGCGTTAGAAGTGCTTTTATCATCTAATCCTGCTAAGAGCAATTCGTTATAGTAAAGAGGCCAAAGACTATACCAAGAAACCCGCAGTACCCTGCAAAAGGAACAAATAAAAGTGGGGGAAACACAAAATAGAAATCAAGTAAAAGTCTGCAATTCACGTTAAAGCACATAGGCACTGCTCTACCTCAGTGGGAGTGAAGGTAGCGAGTTTCCTGTCTACAGACGTTTTCGAGCTTGTGATGATTGTTAGGGGGGCTCTGCATGAGTGCAAATAAAGGGATTGCCAGAACAGTGAAGACCACACCAAGAAGGAAGGCTGTTGCTCTACAGTACGAAACGGTTGAAAGGCACCAGCCCAATTCTCGCAAACAACTCCCTTCAGTGTTGTCTCATGAACTTGCAGTTCCACAACGCTGTTTAGGATGCATAATAAGACAACCAACTGGAGGGCCACACTTGAGATCAACTCTGGTCGTCCATTGAAGGGCCAGAATTCTAGCCAATGTCAAAGCAGTGAGTGATCCTGAGTGAGCTTGGCTGCCGAAGAATAGTGTATAGTTGCCCTTCGATGAACACTTTCAACTGGTCTTACAAGATCAACCTCACAGGAGTCTCATACGGAGCTGCAATACTTTAGGTGTGGCAGGACCAGGGCTGTGAAAGGCATGGCCGTACCAACCGGGGGGTCAAGGGGGGCGCTTGTCCCCCAGTTCTTAGAGTGTGGGGGGTGGGGGGGCAAGTCGTGTTTTGCCCCGCCCCCCCCCCCCCCCCCCTAAAACAGCTACCACTGGGCAGGGCAAACACTGGCTGGCAGCGCCCAAGGGATACCAAGGGCACCGCTCCTCGGTCGCGGGGAGGGAGAAGGGGAGGGGAAGGATGTTTAGTTTGCCCCCCCCCCCCCCCTCAAAATCAAGTTGGTACGCCACTGGTGAAAGGCACCTAAGTCTGTTATGGCCGGGTCTACTGGACACGCTAAGTACAAAACCCAGTGTTCCGCACGTTTTGAACAAAACTGTCGTCAGGCTGTGCGAAGAAGCATAGCTGGCTGTTTATAGTAGATCTTGTCGATGTTTTTCTGCAAACCCTGGTGGTTTCTGGGGCGACCTGATAAGCGGCACCAGTATCAGGTCGTCCGTAAGAGCAGTGGAGTTGATTGCAGGGATCACGATTAATAAACATGTTTACAACAAGTGGACTGAGCACACTGTACCGTTGAACTGTCGAGTATTTGGGGCCACTGGAAATGGTTCCATGGTATACACTGCACTCCGAGCGACTCAAATTGAAAACGTCTAGTATGCACACATTTAATTAAATCGTGTTAATGAGCACCAGTGGCACGCTCGGCAGGTCATGGGACTCAGCTTTCACGGAAGCCAGGTAGCATGCACAGTATAGCAGCCCCTTGCCATGCTTGTGAGAGGTTCCAGCTCCAGGTCGTGGCTTTGCCAAAAGCGTAGTAGAAAAGGTACCACGACCAGCACACCCCTACAGTTCTTAGCACGATCCTTTCTGTAAGCAGTGTGCTCCGCTGTAGCAATTGTCAAGGTGACTGCCATAAACCGAATCCTGCATCCACGCTTTACATGCCGCTAGAACTGTTCAGGGATGCGTCTCATGGAGTGAGTGAAGGTGCAACAGCTTATTCGGGACGAAGTGCCCTGTTTGGGAACCACACTGCGAGTTGAAGCAACGCAAACCAGGGAGTACAGGGATGGGGTTCGTCTGGGCGCGCCAGGGTGGTGAAACACGGGGGGCAGCGTCGCTCGTTGACCGGGCAGGCCAGAGTGCGGTGTCCGTACTCGACACAGCTGTTGCAATGATGGGCTCGAGGTTTGTGGGGACGGCAGCGAAATTCAAGGTGGCGGTAGTACACTGTGTAAGGGACATGGGTTCCGATGAAGGTGATGATGGCTGAACCTGTATACTCGTCTTGCTTGAAGGATGTCACCTTGATAAGACTCCAGATCATTGATGATCTCGTCCGGGGTAGGTAGGAGTGGACGGGAGGGGAAGGGTTTTGTAAGGTGATATTGGTGATGCGAAGTAGCCAGTTGACGATCGCTTCGTGATGGGTGCGGAGGACGGTTATTTTGCCGGAGGTGGAGCGACACGTCGGTACATGTATGAGCAGGGAGCTGTGCGGCTTGCAAGAACGCCGGCAAACTGTCAAGAGGCAGCGCAGCTGCGCCAGCAGGACGGACTGGGAGATGCACTATAACTACGTGAAGTTCGGGGTCAAAGTCGGCTGGAAGACGAGATTTGCGGGGCTTTCCAGGGGTGATCCATTTCCCACCTTGGTCGTCTCGCTCTAGAGAGATTGTCATGTCCTGGCTCAGGATGGACGCAAAGATATTGGTGTGCTGCGAAGCGGCGATGGCGGCTGTAGCCGTATTCGAAGCAGAAACAGGCGTGCCGCTCGCAGAACGAGACTCGAGCGAACCGATCTCTCGGCGGACGTGCTGCGGCGGGCCGACGGAGCGCGGCGATGTTTATACCAGGATCACGTACAGTCGCGTACAGTTCTCTGGGGTTTGCGGAGCCCGGAGAAGACGTCCGCTCTCATCGGAGGTTTGCAGCAGTCTCCGGACACTTAAGGTAAGGGCCTTTTCATCGCAGAGTTCACTATTGAAGGGGGGGGGGGGGGGGGGGCTACTGAGGTTTTAAGAGTTACTGATCGTAGCAATCGCAATCCAAAGACACCGCGTTGTCGTAGATTGTTTTTCACCGCCTACGTCATGTAGGGCTGAGGCCAGGGCTGGGGGATCCATCGCCGGAAACGCGGAGGAACCAAGCAACGGCGTGAGGCTTGCCGAGTCGGTTCGTGGGTGCCGACGACATTCGAGCAACGCTTCCAAGAAGACTGGATATTCTTTCCGGCGAGGACACAATACTTAGACAGCATGCTTGAGGCTGATGAGGATCGCAAGAGGTGGATAACAGGACAACCAATGCACAGCAAATAGGTCGAGCCCGGTACACGGCACAATAGTGGTCGCCGCCACGTCAAATTGAAACGAAGCTGACGAAGCCAAGCTCCAGTTTAGTACACATTGCGCTTCGACATGCTTTATTCAAAATAATTTTATAAATCTTTAAAAAAAATGTTATATCTTAAAGTTTTAATTTAAGT